AGCTCCCCTCATTTTCCTTTTTCTGTCATCTGTTTAGGGGGCCCCTCTTGTTTTTTAAATAGGGGGCCCCAAAAACTGGGCGTTGTTCTCCCAAATTTTTTTTTGGGATAGGAGAAGAAATACCTTTTGGGTTTTTTTTCTGATTTCCCTTTATGGCTTTTATTTCCTTCCTGCGATTCCTGACTCCTAAAGGATTCCTTTTAGCTTTTAATTCGATGGGTTTCCCAATTTTTCTAACCATTTTTCTCCCTGGGGCAAAATTTTAGGGAAAAAATTGACCCCTTTTTAAACCGCTCGTTTTTTTTTTTCCTCGCCCGAAAAGGGGGCCCTTTCCCCTTTCAATTTTTTATCACTCCTCCTTTTTCTTTGAGGGGAAAAAAGCCTTGTGGGAAAACATCGAGTGCCACCGAGTTTAAAACTGTTCAAAGGGATAAGTTTGGGTTTTGTGTTTTCTTTATAACTTCCCCCATTAAAACGGTTAGGACTTTTGGTTTTTCCCCGGTTTCCCCCTTTTTGTTTTGTTATTGAAGTTTTAAAATTTGGGTGAATGCTCCCTCGTGACTAGTCTTTATTTTGTCGGTCTGGGGGGTCCACGCATACATGTCTGAACCCAATTTGTTTTGAAACTGAGTAATATTGTTTTTTTTATATTGTGACAATTTCTTAAACAGATCCCTCCTTTTTATGAATTTTGAGGTTCCCAGTGTATTCCCATTTCCCTATAGGGTCTATTATTTCTGGGTTTTTTAAATTGGAAATTTTTTGCAGAGATTTTAAAAACTCGTGGAGTGTGAAATTTTCATCGGGGCTGCCTCCTGGGTTTTTTACTGCAACAATATATTTTTTTCTATATTCCCCCATTTTTAGGTGCCTTAATTGAAATCCCCCAGAGCAAGATGTTGGGGGCAGGGGCTGGAAAAATTTTTTCCCAAAAGTGGGGCAAAAAAAATTTAAAAGCGTTCCTGGAATTTGGAGGGGGGAAAAATTGCATCCGGGGGTTGTAACCCACCACAATGGCTAGGTTTTTTTGGGTTTTCGACCTTTACTGCTAAAAATTTTCCCCTACGTCATTTGAGGCATTAAGCAGTTCTGGGCAAAAAAAGGACTCTGCAAAGTAAGGGGCCCAAACCCCCCCCCCCTTTTTCCCGTTTCATTTTGTCACCTCTGTAAAAGGTTTTTAACCCCGGGATCCCCTATTTCAATTTTCCAAGTGACCTTTTTTGTGGGTCTCAGTGAAAGCAGGGGAACTTTGCCTTTGCCTCTGCAAAACACCACGGAAAGAAAGGTATTTGGGTTTTTTGTTTCTGCTTTAGACCCTGTATATTTGCAAAAAAAGAATGTTAACGGGCTGGTTGGGAATTTTAGGAAATGGGGGGGATTTTTTTTTCCGGCATTATATCTGTAACTGTTGGTTTGGAGTGGAGGCCCCTCACTGTGGTTTTCCCCCCAGGAATGACGGATTTGGTGTACGATTTCTGCCATTTTCCCGCAGTTTTTTTTTTTTCCCTTTCCCGGCCCCTAAAAAAACCCCTCCCCCTTGATGGCGTGCTACCCAGGGGTTTTCCCCCCTGGCCTGGTGGTTTTGGGACTTTTTTTCCCCCTTTTGATGGTATGCCGGCAATTTAATTTTTAGCACAGGGCTTTTTCCCGTTTTTTGGGAAAAGGACACAATTCAGGGGAAAAAGCTTACAGGAAGGGGGTTTGCATTTTCCTGTTTCCAAATGGACAGACATTTTCCCCTTTGGGGGGTCCCTATTGCATGTCCCCTCCCGTTTTTTTTCCCCCGATTTCCCATGCCCGCAGATTTCCAATTTCATAGTAGTGCCTAGGCTGTTTGTTTTCCGGGTTTTTTTTTGGTTTTTTCGTGACTTTTAAATTCCCTTTTTGGTTCATGTTTTCCCCGCTTTTTCCTATCCCCCAAACACCCCAACCCTGGAGCCCCAAACCTTTTTTTGGTAAAATTTTTCCTCCTATTTTTTATTGGAGTCCTCTTGTTTTTTCTATTTCCTGCGGTTTTTTTCCCAGTTTGCAATATTGGGTTTTATCTTAACTTTTACTACACTTGTTTTTCCAACTAGGCTCCTGTCCTCATGAGGTTTATTTATATTTTTCCCCCCTGCGTATAATTTCCCCCCAAATACCTGGACAAAATCCCCCACTTCCCCCATTTTCGGGCTCCCCCGGGCAGTAACTCCAGCTTCAAACCCTTTCCCGTCTCCCCGGACAGCACCTCCCCCTTCACCATTACTGTCTCCCCGGAAAAAGCACTATCAGCCCCACAAATTTTTTTACTACCGGGCATCACCCCAGCCTTTTCAGTTTGGGGAATACATGGCCCCTACAAGGGCAGTACCATTTACCCCAACCCCTTTTTTTGTTCCCCCCTGTTTAGAAAGCTTTCCCGGGTTTTTTATGAAACAACTTTGAAAGTCCCTTTTAAAAACCCTTTTTGTTTTTAGGTTTTCCCCAATTTTTTCCCATTTTTGGGGGAAACCCCAAAAAAATTCCCCTGTTTTAAAAACTGCTTGAAACTAGTTTGGGATATCTGCCCCAAGGGCGTGACACCCAATTTTTCCCAAAAAATGAAAATTTAAACCATGGGAAACCCCTTTGTTTTTACCGACCACAAAACTACACACAGTTCATAATGATGTGAAAGGTTTAAATTTTCCTTGAAAAAAAAAAAAAAACTACTAGCAACCCTTGAAAATTATATTAAAAAAAACCCTTTAAATGAAGCTTTTTAGCTAATTTTTTATTTTTTTTTTTTAACCCTTTTTGTATATTTGGAAAAGCTTACCGTCACGTTCCCGATTTTAAAGTTTGTGTTTTTTAAGGGCGCCTTTCCCAAACCCCTTTCCCTTTTCAGTCTGCTTTATTGTCCCCAACAAACTGTTTGAAACCATCCCCCGGGGTTTGGGCCAGTAAAGGGGTTTGGGCCATCAAAGGGTTTTGGGGGCCATCCAAAAAGGGGTTTGGACCCAGTCCCAACTGCTCTGATCAGTTGGGGCACTTATTTAAAACAACTGGGGCGGGGATTTGATCTAACACATGAAAGGGTCTACTGGAAATTATCTCCCCCAGTAATAGGGGATTTGACTTTATACAAAAGGGATAACTTTTCTGTTGAAGAGCCGGTAATCGGCAGCTCCAAAAATGACGTACAAATCGACCTCCTTTTTTTTAATTTTAATTTGCTGTATCTGGGTTTTCATTTTTGTTTTTTTTTTTCTCCACCACAATAAATGCCCCAAAATTAACACAAAGTTGACTGGTGCAAATTTTGGAAGGGGAAAGGGCCCTTTTTTCCCGTATAAAAATTGCTTCCCGTTTTTGTATATTGGACCCCCCGGTAACTAAAAGGTAAAATTTAAAAATTTACAGTAACGTCCCGGTTTTTCAAGAAAAAGAAACTAATTTAAATCCACTCCACCCCCCACTAAGTACCATTATAATACGGTTAGTTTTCTACTACCAAAACTGTATTCCCGCTAAATTTACGGTATCACTAAAATTAAAAAGAAAACACAACAAGCCAGTAAATTTTTAAAAAAAGCTGACCTGTGGAAGTTTTTCTGGCACTTTTGGCCCCTGCCCCCTATAGGCTTTATACTTCATTTACAAATTTAAACCCGTTTTCAAATGACACTTTAAGGGCCTTTTTCATAAAAATACTAGGGAGCCAAATGTAGTTTTTACACTTACACTAAGTAAAACTCAATCTTTTATGGAGACTTTCTTTCCTCTGACACAAAGTTTTAATTAAAAATTATTTTTCAAAACGGGAAAAAGGCCCATGTTCCCCTCTTTGGCCCGTAAACCCCGCCCAGGGAATGCACACTAATTCTCCTTTTTTGACTCAGTATATAATGTTTTCCGCCCAAGATTGGTTCCAGGCGCTAGAGGGATGTATCGTATAGGATTGATGACACAAATTAAAGTTCTAGCACGTAAGAGCGACCGTGAAAACACCAGAAAACCGGGAGCACAACGAGGCACGCTGACAGTCACCGCCCACAGGATGCTTCTAAACAAATAATTTAAATTTTTAAGCTTTCAATTGAGACCAAAGTGAACATTTTGGCATTTGTTATATAATTCTCTTTATAAATTAAGCTTACATTTTTAACTCAAAATTAAAAATGCAGTGAAGATGAATATACATATAACAGTGCAAGGGAATATACACGTAACAGTGCAAGGGAATATACATGTTACAGTGCAAGTGAATATACATGTAGCAGTGCAAGTGAATATACATGTTACAGTGCAAGTGAATATACATGTAGCAGTGCAAGTGAATATACATGTAGCAGTGCAAGTGAATATACATGAAGCAGTACAAGTGAATAATCATGAAGCAGTACAAGTGAATATACATGTAGCAGTGCAAGTGAATATACATGAAGCAGTACAAGTGAATATACATGTAGCAGTGCAAGTGAATATACATGAAGCAGTACAAGTGAATATACATGTAGCAGTGCAAGTGAATATACATGAAGCAGTACAAGTGAATATACATGAAGCAGTACAAGTGAATATACATGTAGCAGTGCATATGAATATACATGTAGCAGTACAAGTGAATATACATGTAGCAGTACAAGGGAATATACATGTAGCAGTACAAGGGAATATACATGTAGCAGTGCAAGGGAATATACATGTAGCAGTGCATATGAATATACATGTAGCAGAGCAAGTTTTTACAGAGACAAAATTTTGTTAGAAATCATTATTGAGACAAGGTTTTCTCTGAAGTCAGGTCCATAAAGAAAACCTTTCACTCTAAGGGTAACTTTATTAAAATGTCCTTAGAGCAGATCATTGCTCACATATAGGCTCATTATGCTACATTCCTCTTTATTTTTATTCGTGTCAGCAGTGTGCCTTTTAAAATTGTGAAAATGGTGTTAGAATGTAATGCTGTATTAAGTGTAGTTGACAAGAACTAACACAGTTTTATTTCAGATTATTACAATATTTGTATCCAACAGGTTCGTGCTTTCTGGGACTCACTGCCAACTCAACAGAACTTGTTGCTTCACTCAGAAAATTTAATAGTTACAAAAGATAATGCTGAACCTGTGGAAGCGAGTAAAGATTTGGAATTTAAGATACACTTTCAAATGGAAAATAAACCAAGCAGTTCTGCTGCTCACAGTGAGTTGTAGCGCTGATATGATGACAATAAAGAATTATTGACTGTTAATTATTGATGGAATACTGACGGCACCAACCAGATATGGAATGATTTATTTGGTAAATTTATCATGCATGCCATGTTGTAAAGTCAATAGTTCACAGAACCATACTGTAACCAGGTACTGAGAGAAGTTTTTTTTGGGGGGGTGGGGAGGGTAGGGTGCTAACTAAACAAGTTACAGCAGTATATGTACCAATGATATGTAGATTTCTCTTATCTCACACTAATTCAAGTTCCTTCTCACTATATGCTCGGGTCTAGGATAGTTCATTAATGTCTTACAAAGTCTAGCAGATACATACATTTATGACAAGTCTGTCTTAGCCTCTGATACTTACCTTACCTTCCATTCAGAAAATAGGTTATTTAGACCATTATCATATAAAAATAATTATATATTCAGTGCATAACTATTTACAGCATTTACATACAACAAGTAGTTTCGCCCAACCTTCACAACATGTAGTATATAACCGTCTAGTGTAGGACTCAGCCATTCCACCACATGTGTACCTAGTCATGTGGTCCCGTCTGAAAATAATTACTTCTTACTTGAAACAACCCAGTGTTTTGATAACTTGTACCGACGCTGAGACATACTCTACTGATGCCACAATGACTTCACGACCACATCAGCAGCTGGGACAACAAGTGTCTGAAGACTCAAGAGGACGTCAGCTTACCAAGATGTTACCATAGCTCCAGAAAGAGGATGACTACCGACCCTACCCTCCTCGGGGAACCAGAGCAAGACTGAAGATGAAGGATGTCGTCCAACCGGAGGAATCATTACAACACATCCATGCAGAAAGGAAGTAAGATGATCGACAACCCCCCACTGCGGGGCCGACGCATTGTCACTATTTGGAAAAGACCCGTGCTGGGATAGTACCGGCCCGGGTCTTACTGTTGCAATATTAAACCAGGAAAATCACATCTTGCCCAGAAATAGGAGAGTAGCTACATCCAGTCTGGTCAACACAATAATGGAGAATGAGCCAACCATTCCCCAGCACTTATACCCACAACAAACCACAGTGCATCACTATGCACAATATTTCTTAACTAATTTATTAATACTCTATTTCTCACCCATAACTCTTTAACTTGTCTTATACTTTTAAAATACTGTTGTTACAAAATAATTATTATAATTATGTCTGTTGTTTATAACTGAACCTATTTTTATTGACGTGCGGGAGTTAAAATCTTTTTTCCTGTCCCCCCCAAAAGGAGTGTTTCAATTTTTAATGGCAAAAATTTTAAGTTAGTTGTACCACTACAAAATATATATAAAATTATATATATATATATATAAAATTATATATAATATATATATAAATATATATATAATATATATTATATTTATTTTATTATTATTATTTTTATTTTTTGAATTTGGCCGTTTCCCCCACCAAGGCAGGGGGGCCCAAAAAAGAAAAACTTTCACCATCTTTCACCCATCACTGCCCTTGCCGAAGGGTGTTTTAAACACTAAAAATTTTTTTTAAAATTTGCAACATTAACACCCCCCCTTCAGAGGGCAGGCACGGGATTTCCCATCTCCGGACTAAAGGCCCAGCCTCCCCGGTTTTCCCTGAACCCCTTCATAAATGTTAACTTTGCTCCCCACTCCAACGGGCACGCCCCAAGTATTAAAAACCATTCGTCTCCTTTTCTTTCCCTATAACACGCTCATGAAACGCCGGGCTGGAAGTCCAAGCCCCTCGCACACAAAACCCCCTTTTCCCCCCCTTCCCCCAACCTTTCCAAAGGCCGACCCCTACCCTCCCTTCCTTTTCCACTACAGATTTGATACATCTTGAAGTCTTTTCTTTTTTCGCTCCATTCCCCTCTACATGTCCAAAACCCCCTCAAAAACCCTTCCCCCAGCCTTCGGGCAAATTTTTGGTTTAATCCCGCCCCTCGTCCTAATTTCCCAAAACTACGAATTCTTCCCCTTATATTCACCCACACATTGCCCTCAGAAAAGACCCCCCCTTCCCCCTGGGGCCCCCGCCTTCTCCCGCTGCAACATTCTCCCCCATGCTTCCACCCATATAAGAGTTTTGGTAAAAAACAAACCCCTTCTACATTCCCCTCTTTGCCTCCAAGAAAAAGTTTTTTGTCTCCATAGACTCCAAAATTCACCTCCCCCTTTTTTCCCTCATAAATTTTTCTTGATTCACCTCACCCTTTTTATAGACCCACCCGCTGACAGGGCCCACTCCCAAATATCGAATCCATTCACCTCCTCCATATTTCTTCCCCCCCAATCGTATCCAATTTTTCCCATCCCCAATTTTTTTGGGTTATCCTCTTAACCTTACTTTTTCCTGAAATTCATTTTTAAATTTTTCTTTTTTTTGCACACCCCCCAAAATTTTCATCCCCCCAATCTCTGAACTTTTTTCAGAATCCCCCAAGAGCACAGTTTTAAACCCAAAGAGCAACTGGGGAAAACCCTCCCACTTTATGTGTTTTTTTTAATTTTTTAAAATTTCCACCTTCTTGTAAAGACCCCAATTTACTTCTTTTTAAAACCCCATCTAAAAAATTTTTTAAAAAACCCCAACGGTGACATCACAAAACCTTTTCTGGGGGCCCTATTTTTACTGGGAAATAATTTCCCTTTTCCTTTACTTAACTTGAGCCCCCCAATATCCTCGAAAAAAAACTTTTCACTGTTTTCCCATTTAACCTACCTCCTACACCATACACCTCCCAAAAATCTGCCACTTGCCCCCCTATCCACCCGGGCAAAACGTTTTTTCCCCAAATCTTTAAATTTCCCCAAAAAAGCCCTTTTTAATCCTTATCTAAATATTTGTTCACTTAATGTTTCACTGTAAACACCTGGTCCACACCCCCCCTTTCCTTTCCTAAAGCCTCCCCTTTTTCAATTTTTGTATCCTATTTCAGTCCTTACTTTTTTAAATTTTTTTCAATAATTTTCTACCATACACTTTACCCGGTATACTCAAAAGACTTAACCCCCCCTTTTAATTTTTTTTCACTCTCCCTTTTTTCCCCTTTGCCTTTATAAAAAAGGAAATATGCTTTCTCTCTGCCAAACCCCAGGGGGCCCTACCCACTTCCATACATTTAAAAAAATAAATTGGCCCCCAAACACTTTAAAAATATATCCCCCCCTGCTTTTTAAAATTTCAATTTTTTTATCCCCCTCAATCCCGGCTGCCTTTCCCCCCTTTTTTTTTTAAAACTTTCCTCACGAACTTCCCCCCACTCACAAATGGCTCTTCCCCACTCCTACAAGATGTTAATTTCCCCCTTTTCCCTAAAAAACGAAATATAGCTTCCCTATCTTTATCAACATTTTAAAAATTCCTCAAAAAAATTTCCCCCATCTTCCCAAAACCCCTAAATTTTCCATTTAATACTCTCCTCTCCTATTTTTAACCCCGACAAATCCTTTTTTTTCCCTTGGCTTCCTTAACTTGTTAAATCCACTTCAAAAAATTTTTTTTATTTTCAACAAAAAATTTTTTGTTGGTTTAAAATCTCACCCCCCTCTCTCATTTGGGCCCCTTTTTACATTGCTTCACCACTCTCTTAAACCCCTTTTCTTTTCCCTTATAACTTTTCCCTCCCTTTCATCCCCTTTTTCTTTGTTTAAAAAATTCTCCCATGCAAAATTTTTTTCCTTTACTACCTCTTTAAAAATTATCATTCCACCAATCGCTTTTCCCCTTCCCTCCTGGGACCCACTTTCCCGTGACCACAAATTCTGCTGGAAAACCCCTAACACTACATTTTTAAACCACCCTCCCTTCCCCTTCGGGGCCCCCCTTGCCTATGCTCTCAATTTGCCCATTATTTCCCCCAAATAGCGTTTTTTTATCTTTCCCTAACTGTCCCCTTTAAGTTTATAAAAACCCTTTTCCTTCCCCTTCCCCCGATGCTTTTTTCTCCCTTTTAATTTCCAAACTACCTTTTACTCTCAGGAGCTCATTAGAAAGTGATCTGATATATCTGGGGGCCCCTCTAAAAAACATGTACATCCGAAATCTATCAACATCTTTTTCTACCAATACAAAATCCAACAAACACTGTCTTTCGCCCAAATTCTATCTTGTTATTTTATTTATCCTCTTTTTTCCTTAAAATAGTTTCCCTAAACAAAACCCCCCTTTCTTACAAAGTTCAATCAAAGGGCCCCATTATCTTTACCCGGGCACCCCAAACTTACTCCCCAAAAAACCCTTTAAAAATTTTTCTCCTACTTTTATAAATAAAAAAAAGGAAAATACCGTGACTGAACGTTACACAAATAACCCCACATAAAAGACAAAGTTACGACGACTTTTTTCGGTCCGACTGGACCATTGACATGTGTTTTGTCAAGGTCCAAGTCGGACCAAAAACGTCGTGAAAGCTTCTGTCTTTTAATTGGGGGTTATTTGTGTTTCTTACTTTAGCATCAGCCCCCTACCACAATTACTCTCCATTTGGTTCAAAGGCTCCTATACATTCCTTAACATCCCCAAAATCACCTCCCCCTCTGATTCCCTCTTTTTCCAGGTGCTACACCTTATTATGATAAATATATATTATATAATTATAAAATTTTAATATATATATATATATATATATAATAATATAATTTATATATATATATTATATTATAATAACATATACAAGGAAGGGGGAGAGAGAGAGAAAAAAAGAGAGAGAGGAAAAACTTCTGGAACTGTCCGAGGCCCTTCTTCTCAGTAAAAAGAAAAACTTGCTTCGGGAAAAACTAAAGGTTTCCCTAAGCTTTTTAAAAAATTTCTCCTCCCCCCCCCAAATTTTTAATATATGCTTTATTTAAAATAATAAACTTGAAAAAATGCATAAAAACAATACAATAGAGAGTAAATCAACAAATAGAAATTTCAGAGCTACATTTTGAATACTTCGTCCAGCCCCTGGCAGTGGGCCACGTGCCCAGAAGCTGCGGGCTTTTTCCCTCTGGATACAATGCTGTTCGAAAGAGGAAGCTGGCTCCCCTGGGTTTTTTGGTTTTCTATGATGAGTTTTTCACCCACTCTTGAGGACTTTAGTGCGCACTTGCCCAATGCCCCCAAGAGTCTCAGGCCCTATTGGGGATGATGTTATGGGGGCAAGGGGAAAGGGGCCTTTATTTGTGGTTTTCTAGGCGCCCTTGACTGGCAGCTCCAGTCCCTCCATACGGATATGGCAAGTATTTGTCTCCCCAAATGTGGGGGAAAGGTTAGTCCCAAAAAATTGCTTTCCATTCTTCTAGGGCAGCATAGTCGCTCCAACAGGACCTTTGGTTCTGTCAGACCTCTCACTTGGGGATCCCAGGGGGTGGGGAACGGGCTGGGGCGAGGCTTCTCTTATGATGTGTTGATCCCTCATGTCGGTATATTTCCCCTTCTGATGTAGACACACGAGACCATTAAGTCCAATTGTCACCGTCGATCTGCCCGAATACACGTTCGGGGAAGAATGGGGGGCAGGGGAAATGAACACCAATTTAATGGCCTGGGGTCGAGTCGGGTGCCCAGGGAGGAAACCCAGAAAAGCTGAAGGAAATCTGAGTGTGGGGCCTTCACCGCAGAAACACTTTTACTTTCCTGAAGCGTTGCTGAGCATTATTGTGGCGATTTTCCTATATTGTTTTTCCCCCGTGGGACTGTTTTTGCCTTTTTGGGGGGGAGCGGTTTACTGGAGGTGTCTGCAAGTGTGTCCCCCCGCATGGCGCCCTACCGGGCCTCCAAAGTTCGGGGACAATCCTTTTGCAATACTGGAAGCCAAACACCTGCGTTTCTTTTCGCACCCCTTACCTCCAGCGCACTGGGAGGGGGCCCCATACCATTTCTGATCCTCTAGTGCAGATTCACTCCTTTTAAAGGGTTGATCTCAGTGTGATCTATAATCGAGTGTTGGGTTTTTAACGAGGGTATGCACCCCAGGAAGTAAGTGAGTCTTGCCCTGGTAAACCCTTGGTGAATAACAGGGGTCTTGCATCAAGACGCAATTCCTCCACCCTTTTTTTCGGTTATTCAATTTGTCCTTAGGGCAGGCGATGGCCGGTGACCCAGGGTGCCCAAGAAGGTACTGTTGGATGGACTTCCGGAGGATTTTTTCTTTGCACAGCACGATTAATTTTTCCCGGTTCTTTGGATGA